GCTGCACTGCACAACTTATTTTTCAACTGTGATGTCATTCCTGTTTTGTTTTTTACCATATGATGTTTATTGATTTTTTATCTCTAAGCGTCCTGCCGTATAAAGGTATTGATATGATCTTCAAGAAATAAGAAGTGCCAGAAATGAATGGTAAAAATGGATTTCTAAATATTAAACATGCTTAGTACTTCATTAATTATCAAAATTGTTTTTACTGAACGATGTTAAAAAGTTAATTAAAAACACTAAAAGCCTAATAACTAGCAAAGTATCTAACTCCTAAAAACCTGATTCGGAAATACTTAATTGAGCTTCTTTCACTAAGAAAGAAATTGTTGTGATAAGAGATTACTGCTATCAAAAATCCAAATAGAGTCGCTTGTTGTTGGGAGAAAGAAAAAATATATATAGCGTGTTACCTTCTTTAAAAATAACAAATTTCCATTGGAATTTATCAACAGTAGTTTATAATTAGTTTGTAAAAATTCTGATTCAGTGAACGAGATGGACGATGTAAGCTTGATGTGATGAAACAAAAACACATGAAAGAATAGAGGCTTTTTTGTTTGTTTTTGAATTTCGCGCAAAGCTAGACAAGGGCTATCTGCGCTAGCCGTCCCTAATTTAGCAGTGTAAGACTAGAGGGAAGGCAACTAGTCATCATCATCCACCGCCAACTCTTGGGCTACTGTTTTACCAACGAATAGTGGGATTGACCTCCACATTATAATGCCCCCCCCCCCGGCTGAAAGGGCGAGCATGTTTGGGGTGACAGGTATTCGAACTCGCGACCCGCAGATTGCGAGTTGAGTGCCCTAACCAACTGGCCATGCCGGGCCCAAGAATAGAGGAGATGGTATTAACAATTGTGCACAACATTGTCATAACCAATGTTGTTTAGTTTATTTAACAAAGAAGCACTCGGATGGAAGAAAAAAATGTGAAATAAAATAAAAACAAGCAATTATTGATTTGTTTGCTCAACAGCGCAGGAGAAAACAAGCTCACAAAAACAAACAAGCAATCTCGAGTGCCTCATCTATATGAGAAGCAGCGACATCAGATATTTTCGTGCTATATACGTTTGTATTCTTCAGATGATCTGTTGAAAGAACGTGGAGCGAAAATTTCAGGGATAAATAAAAGACAGAAGAACTGTGAAAATGTACTAAATACACACACACACATACTGTATGATGTATTTATTAAAGAAACTGATGTATGCGGGATTTTTCCGGAAATTAAAGATTTCTATTCACTCTGCATTTTGCCAAGTAACAGCAGACTGTTAATTAAATGTTAGGCTGTTTCGCTGAAGAAAAGCCTACTTAGCTACAAGCTGAGAAATTTAAAACGGTTCATAAAAAAAGTATTGAATATATTGATTCTCAGTTTGGTTGTGCTTGATAAATCTAGAAACAAAAATTATGTTATCTAGTCCTGTTGACAAAAAATACTTATTTGTTTAATAGTTTTTAAATAACTGAGTAGGTTTTGCAACTTTCTACATACTAGTTATCGAATGTTGTTAATATTAGATATTAAAAAATAACATTTCACTTTCTAAACAGCGAAAACATATTAACTTTTACTAGTATCATGTCTTACAATTCTGATTCATTAAAATATCTAGCTTTACGGGGACGTATATTTTAGAGGCTTAACTTTGATTGAAACATTAATCATATTTGCTGAAACTCGTGATGGTATAGGTGAAAACTTTTGTTTAATAACGAAATGTAAAGAGAACTTGGCTGAAGCAAGGTGCGATAACAGTTGGTGATTCGTAAAAAGTTAGCAGAAAAATTATTATCGAGAACAACTTTCTAATTTTGTTGTTGTTGTTCAGTGAGCTGATTTGATTGTTTGTTTCTTTTAGAATTTCGATCAAAGCTACATGAGGGCTATCTGCGTTAGCCATCCCTAATTTAGCAGTGTAAGACTAGAGGGAAGGCAACTAGTCATTACCACCCACTGCCAACTCTTGGGCTACTCTTTTACCAACGAATAGTGGGATTGACCGTCACATTATAACGCCCCCACGGCTGAAAGGGCGAGCATGTTTGGTGTTACGGGGATTCGAACCCGCGACCCTCAGATTGCGAGTCAAGTGCCCTAACCACCTGGATATGCCGGGTCGAGCTGATTTGAAGAAAAGCAAATCGAACCTTGAAAGGCTGTCTTAGTAACTTAAATTTTTGGAGCTTCTATAACGTCGTTAGTAATTTTATTAAATATAAAATTCTTATAGAATCTTTAAAATTATAAATCAGATTCTGGACTGCTTCAGTTTCTAGGTTTAACTGTTTTTTGTTTTTTTAATATGGATATGAACTAACGTTTTGAAGCTTTTATAACGTCGTTAGTTATTTTATAAAGATGAAACTCTTAAAGATTAAATCTTTATAAATCAAATTTAGGACCACGTCAATTTCTAGGTTTAATTTCGAGATTTATTTATAATTTTTCCCTATTACATTTTAATGTGGACAATTAGGTGAAACGTGTTTTACTCACTATACACTCTAAACCTTAGTAACATCTTTAAAAAAGACATACGAACTATCGAGCTTTAATGAAAGTACATATCATAGCATTTGATCGCACTTTGACAATTAATCAATACTAACATTTTCACTGCATGGTAGAGAATATTTTTGTTTCTATTTTCTTTCTTTTTTAGAGGTCTATAGATTATTTTTGGCAGGAAACTGGTTTAAAACTAGCACAGTTAACCAGTCTGACTCGTGCAATATTTTAAGTTTTGTGTCTTTTATTTTGTTGTTTTGATTTCATATTTTTTGTGGTTATTTTGAATAGGCCTAGTCATTATTGTCATATTTAAATTAAACAAGTTTCTTGTATTGTTTTAATATTCATTCAAAACATATTTCTGAGATTCATTTTTCAGTTATTTTCGAGATCCATTCTATCAGTTACTTCCGAGCTCCATTCTGTCAATTATTTCCATGATCGATTCTATCAGTCACTTCCGAGATTCATTTTATTAGTTATTTTCAGAATCATTCCATCAAGTATTTCGGAGATTCGTTCTATGATATATTTTCAAGAGCTAATCCGTCACTAACTTCCGAGATTCATTCTTGTCAATTGCATTTTGAGTCTCGGTGAGATGAAACATGAAATAGTTGACCATCAAATTGATTGAAATAGTTTCTGTCCCAGTTTTCAATAATATCAGTAATGTTAGGTGAGAAAAACTGTCTCAAAAAGAGCGAATTTTATTCTTAATTTTTTATTTTTCTCGTGTTCGTTACACACAAACACACAACCACCCACACACACGTATATATATATATATATATGTGTGTGTCACAATAAAACAGCTTTTCAACACGTGGTTGGACACAGCACACGTTCACACATTACTGGCTGTTCCTAACAAAAAAAGAACGAACACTTTACAAGCTAACACCCTAATGGTCAAAAAGTAATAATAACAACCTCGTTATTCTGGCATGTTACAATTTAGAACCTACTTTATGAAGAGACGGAAATCACGATAATCGTGAAGATAGGTGGATTTTTAAAGAAACTTAGTTGAATGGACTGCAACTGCCTGTTGTAGAAACACAAGTATAGAGAACCTTTAGACTTATGTTTCTACAACAGGCAGTTGCTGTCCATTTAATTAAGGTTCATCATTAACACTCTGCTTAAATAATCTATCAAAGTGGATTTTTGTTGTTCTTATTTCTGGATGTAAAAGACATATTAGGAAGAGGCACGAAATGTGTTCGGGATATTTGAAATATACATATGACTAGTGTTTTTTTTTCCGCATTGAATATCAAACATATTCCACATTTAAACAAAGTTTAGCGATTCATGTTTTCAATTTTGAATATTGGGTTGTGATGAGAAAAACTTGTATCAACGGTTTTTAAACTGAACTTTTTCATTTTTAAGCCTAAGAAAGTCTAACTAGGAAAAGAGGCGGAGTAGCTTATTGACAAATAACATTCCCATCAATTACTGTATATAAAATATTACTCGGAAGCCACCAGATGGCGATATTTAGCATGGAGAAAGACACCATGTAAGCTTAATTTTGCAGATCATATTTAAGTGAATTGTTCTAATCTTAACCAATCGTACAGAATATACGAATATTAACGCTTTATTCATGGAAAGCTACAATACTTTTGGAATATCAATACCTATAATGAATTGATGAACTATATATATATATCTTTAAATATGTTCAGATTTTCTTCTTATTGCATCTTACAATCGCCTAGTTTCCATATCAACTCACAGCCTTAGAGCTTTATCAGCTGAAAAAACAACAACAAACAAACTAAGGAACACATTACCATCCATTATATAAGTTAAGGTCTTAAATGTAAGAACAAAGATAACGCCGATTTTCAAAATTAGATATTTCCAAGTTGACACTGTTACATGGTTCTAGCTCATCTTCCCGAATTTCTTATCGATTGTTGAATATCGTATTTGAAAAGTCGTTTGATTTCAGTATTGTACCGCTGATGTAATATTAATCATGTTATATCATGACTGGTTTTACTTCAATTTGTACAGATACATAAATTACCATAGTATTGAAATAATGTCATATTATCTACGGATATTTTAATCAATATAACAGCAGAGTTTATTATTGAAGCACAAATTTGTTAAACAGTCATTTGTATGGAGCGTCACCAAGACAAGCGTTGTACAGGAGACGAAGACTAGCAACCTGTCTTATGGTTTGTAGCTGAACTAAAAGAACAAAATTCCTACGAAGTTACTATAATTTTTTAAGCAGAAATCTTTTCTCAAGTCATTTTACTTTTAAGTATTTTCTAGCATATCTGCACGAAAATTGAAAGTATTTGTCTTCATAAGTCTTTAATAAAAAAAACTCCAAGGACACATTTTTTAACATTGTCTAAGTTATATATATATATATCCAAAACAGTCACATCCATGTTTACAGTAAAATATGCTAATACGTTAACATATTACTCCTACGCTACAGCTAGTTAAAGAAAAACGTAGACCTAAAGAGCAGACACATCATCTACTATAATATTAATTTCAAAGACAGCACCTTCCAAAAACTAATCGAAATCTTCAAAATAAATTGAAAGTGAAGTTCTTGGAATTTTTTAAAATCACGAAATTTCATAGGCCCATATGTGCTCGTTCGAAATCTCCACAACTCGTGAATTAATCCAAGTTCCAATTGATCGAGTTTTTTTTTTGCTTGTTTTTGAAGTTTAGTTCTACACAAGTCACAACTTATGTTTGGTATTGAAGCATGGGTGGTGGTAGATTCGGGTGTGGTGCGGTGTTCATTCGAAGAAATCCTTTATTGTACCAGTCTTCCTCGTGATCTTGGCGCATGACGGCCATGTTATGTGCAGCTGCGTGAGACATGGAGAATGGTTGAGTTGCCATTGGTGGGTAAGATGCTGCAGCCATAGGCTGATAACGAGCTGCTCCGACCGAATTGATCGGGTTGTGATGGGGATACTGATACGATCGAGTAGTAGGTGATGCTGAGGAGTAAATGTTTCTCATCATAGCTCCATTACAGGATGGAAGAATGGAGGGAGTGGCAAGAGCTTTCTGCAACTGTTTCTCCTGCTTACGATACTTTGCTCGTCGATTCTGGAACCACACCTAGAAAAGATGATTGTTCAATTATTTATATGATTGCGTGTGTGTGTGTCTTCATTCATGAGATTTTACAAGCACAAGTAGAAAAACAACTTCACTGTTTAACTTTAAACTTGTTTCTGTTTGGCAGAAACCTTCGCCAAGTTTTTGAAAATAATATACAATTTTTAGGTCAATTGGCTCACTTAGCAAAACATAAGAAATGTTGAATTGAAGAGGGAAACTAAGTCTTTAATGCAACCTCTTATGTCAAAATTACACTAGAATCGAGAACCGAGATATTTACAAAGTTTCTTAATTTTGGAATGGTGGTTTCCGATGCTTTATCGTCTGCCAGGGTGGCAGTGACTACGTATGATGAATATGTTCTTTATAATATTTGTTTTTCTATACAGTTGAACTCTTAAAGTCCACGGATCGTTAAAAAGGCTAGTGAAACCTAGCGTGATTCTTTCTTCTGTTTTTAAGGGAATATTTTTTTGAGCTTTTCGGGAATAAGCAAAGTTTAAACAAATACATATTATCAGATTTACACATGTTTAACTTAACAGAATTCGTCAGAAAACTTTTTTGTAGGATGTAAATATTCACTGTATCTTCTCACAGACTATCAGAAATCAACATGGAGATGAACGTATTGTGTATTCTCTGTGCATAACAGAAATTTTTGTTACTTTTAAACTCCTAGAACGAACTTATCGCTTCTTTGAAAGCTTTATATCAGAAAAAAAACCAGTAAGGTTTCTGACAGAGTGCATTGGTATTCTATCAATTATATCTTCAATACAAAAATTCATTGCTTCAAGAAAGTACGTAGCCAATTTAAGTACCATAAAGTAAATGGAAATTTGAAATAATCATTGTTATCATAGCTCAGGTTCCACACCTTCGTTACGATAACGATGTACTAGAACAGACCTACGTGAAAGTGCGTATTGGAAGGCATTGAGGATCTAACGTGCAACTTAAGTTATAAGTTTGTTCGTCAGAAATAATTTTTGATGCAATCCAGGCTTTTGTTTATTTGTTTGTGGGGGGAAAAGAAAGAATCGGTTTTTAAATGCATCAAACCTGTTCGTTAAAAAAGAAAGATAACATATAGTTTGTTTGTAATTAAGCACAAAGCTACACAATGGGCTATCTGTGTTCTGCCCACCACGGGTATCGAAACCCGGATTCTAGCGTTGTAAATCCGCAGACATACCGCCGTGCCACTGGGGGCGATAACATATAGAATGGAGAACATTTTCACACAATCATTGTCAGAACCCTTGCAATCTAATCTTCACCAAAAATATAATTAACTTCCCGTTAATTAAAAGTAATTATTGTTACGTTTTTTCTTTCGATACTCAAAAATAGGACTACTTTCTAAATATCACTAATCAGATAATATTAGTGATTAGGACACTCGACTCGCAATCTGCCGGTCGCGAGTTCGAATCATCGACCAACCAAACATGCTTGCTCTTTCAGCCGTGGGGGGATATAATGTTCGGTCAAACCCAATGTTCGTTGGTAAAAGAGTAGCCCAAGAGTTGGCGGTGGGTGCTGATGAATAGCTGCCTTCCCTTTAGCCTTTTACCGCTAAATTAGGGACGGCTAGCGCAGATAACCTTCGTGTAGCTTTGCGCGAAATTCAAAATAAAACAAACCAGATAATATTAAATAAATAAATAATTAATATACGATAATACATGCACTGCTATCTTCTGTATATCACGTGACACGAATAAACCTAAAGCAAGTAAAGAATTTATTCAAAAAATGGTTTCTACATTATGAAGAAAAGTGTCATTGAGAAAAACAACATTTATCACGTTAGGTTTAGCGAGACACAGAGAATTAACTAGATAAAAGCTATTCTTAGCAGATATGCATAACATTTATCATTTCACCTAGTTTGATTTTTATACTTACGTATATTTTCTCTGCACTGGATTATGGGCTTGTTATCGCCAATGTAGATGGCAATAAATCAATTAAGTATGTGATTGGTTGGGTTTGTTTTGAATTTGGCGCAGAGCCACTCGATGACTATCTGTTCTAACCGTCCTTAATTTAACAGTGAAAGGCTAAAGTGAAGGCAGCTAATCAACACCACCCACCGCCAACTCTTGGGCCACTCTTTTACCAAAGAATAGTGGAATTGACCTTCACATTATAACGCCCTCACAGCTGAAAGAGCCAGCATCTTCGGTAACAGGGCTTCGAACCCGCGATCCGCAGATTACAAGTCGAGTGTCCTAACTACCAGGCCATGCTAGAACATGAAGTATGTATGTTTCTATAGACAGATTGTATGAATGACAAGATTCTTCTACAAAGGAAATAGGGAGAAAAAATTCTGTAATAATTTTATTAAATAAATACTCAGTTTTTGTATTATTTGTTCCAACTTAATTTATATTTAAAGTTTTAGTTTTTGAATGGATATGAGTTGTCTGTTTTTTGTTGTTTTTTTGCATGAAAATAATTACTTTCTATTTTCTTTTTCATGTGAATTCTCTTTATATGTACGTTTGGTTATGAATTCATCATATATGTATACATATACATCGTTCATATCTTTATATATATATATCTTTTTGGGTGTTATTCAGAAGAGACATCCTTTTTTACTGGTCTTGCTTCGAACTTATTATAACTTTTTCAAATATTTTCCGTGAATGATTTAAGCCATCTTTTCAGAAGAAAATGTTATTTTGTATTTATGATGGTAAGTCCACTAGTAGGACAGCTTACGTTGTTACAACGCTAAAATCCGGGGTTCATTTCTCCGCGGAGGAAACAGCAAGAGAAGCAAGGCTCAAATCATAAATTTTATATGGTCAGCTACTGAGTTATTTTTAACTACTTCGTATATTAAATTATCTCGATTGATCATAGGAATTAGCCAAGTATCTGAATAAAACATATATGTAGTTTAATTTTTACAACCAACCAGGGATGTAATAATTTTTTATAACCCAATATTTAAACAAACAGAAATTCCAATACATATTGTTCTTCTCTTCATATTGAATATTCCATATATTCTTTTCAATACATACGTGAAGTTATTGACAGGATATATCGTATTTGGTAACGAGTGATCGATTTGTGTACATAATTGTTAATGTTTTGTATGTCATCATAATTTGCAAGATACCGTCATTTCTTAAAGTATCGTTGATCTGAAACATCCAATCAATACTTATTAATAGTTTTGAGATCTGACGTAAGACGTTACAGATATAGCACAAAGTTTGACTATACTGTCATGCGAGAAGTTACATATATATAGTACGAGCCTTGGTTATACGGTAGGCACCCCTATTATGTTGAACGAAATAGGAGTCATGTTTAGTCAGTTTTTAACCGTTCATGTTAAACAAATTAATTCGTTAATCAGCGTAACTTTTCTACTGATTATACTGATTGCACTTTTTTATATAAATAATTCACTTTTTAATCCTATATAAATAATACGCTTGCGTTTGTATGTACGGATTATTTCGCAAATTTCTCGATCCAACGCTACAAATCTCAAGAAAAGCCTTTGACCGAAAAGTCCGGATTGCATATTAGCTTTCCATTCAGAATCACCTTATCTATTTTTTGCTTATTCAAACTTTTTAATGCAACGAATATACTTTACACGATGGCACAATATCGTTGTCATCATGTGATGACTGGCTTCGATTTCAGCTTTAGTTGGTTTTTTTTGTATTTGCAAAGTATTTCACAACATTTAACCCAACTGTAATTTTCTAAAAAATTAACATTACACTAAATACATTTGAGACGGGCTTTCTTTACTTGTTTAGGTCTAAAACATGCATGTGCAGTTTGTTTAAAACCATATGCCACATTCAGATGTTTCTGCGTATTCAGCTAAGTTTGCCTTCATTACAGCTTTGCATTTACTTTACTTTGCAATAATTTAGATTTGGTTCGTTTCATAGACTGCTATAAATACCCTTTAGCTAGTTTTTTTTCTTTAGTACTGGTTTTATACTTCGCTTTTGTGAGTTTCTTTATTTCAGTTCGTAAAACTGTGTCATACATCGAACGCTCATAACTGTTTCATACTTTGTACACTATTATAAATATCATTACTATACTTTATTGCTTACTTTGCGTGTAGTTTTATTAAATAAAGTTACGTCTATGTGAGTATGTTTGTCTGACCGCGTAAAAGTCTTTCAAGTAGACCAGGATTTATCGACCTAACACACAATGTCTGCAAAAAGCGTAGCTTAAATGCCGTGCGTGAAAATAATATATTAAGGAAAATTCAAGCGAAGGGCATGAAAACTACCGCAAATGTTTTGCTGGTCGCTGCTAGTTTTTTTAAGTAAAATGATAGTGTTCTACATTTCAACGCCGGAAGACCTGTTATGTGAATACTTTCATTATTCGTTAAAGACGTTTTGCCATTGTAGCGAAAGAAAGGGTAAAAGTTTTAACGAAAATCCGAAAATGCAGTTTATTCTTGTTTGTATTTTGTTAACCATTTCATAATATTGTAAATCTAAGTCGATCAAATATATGATGTTAGAAAAAGTAGCACAGCTCTCCTATTCTTCGTTAATATGAAGAGTAGATCATAACAGGTACATAACTAAGGTAAATTTCTTTTTCGTGTTGGCGATAATGTCGAAAGATACAAGGCCGATTGGAATGAGAAGCATGAAAGAATGCAGAGTATGCCCAAGAGTGTTAGCCTATAGAAGAAAAAGGTAAGTCCTCGAATAGCCCCTGTAATTCCACAGTTGCTGAGGCGACATACTCGTGCACTTTCCACGCTAGGGGTTGAGTCAAAGAAAAGTGGCATGATGAAGATTGACAGCACGGCTGATGGGACTAGCCTGCTTAGTTTGTGCCTACAGCGGTAAAGTTCCGCTTCTTACTCTCGCCGCTGATGCTTTCAAATTCAATTTGTGCTCCGAGTCGAAACGTAATGGACTTCAAGACTTTCGCTCAGGAAAAACGAAAGGCGCTTGCGGTCCCATGTGTCGTCTAAGTGCAGGTCTATGTGTGTAGAATTCCTAGGATTCTACCAATTAGATTTAGTCGAACAGGAAGGCCGTCCAATTATCTTATACACTCTCGCGAACAACAAGACAACAGATTGGAACGAAAACTAACAGAACTGTGTCTAAATCTCGTGAAAATCATCATGAAACTCAACTAGTGAAGCTCCAGGCGTGAGAAAAGAAGCATTAAATTAACTAAACCTGTAATGATAGTCGTTTCAATAGATTCGATAATATCTGGTATCTTCGTCGAACGACCAAAATGCCAGCTAAATGATATCTTTTTTATAAGTCATTACGAAAAGTTACAGATTTTTGAAAGCATCGGTAAATAAGATTCATAAATCTGACTGAATAAAGGATTAAACGTTAGATGTAAAAATACCAAAGATTTTTAAATTATTTGAATAACAATCTAATTGAATGACTAATAAACATGAAATGAAACTCATTATACATATTCCTTTTGTTAAGTGCCTCGAAAAACTTTGGAGATAAAGGTAAAATAAATGTAAGTAACTTGTAAAGTGATGTTAGATTACTTACACTGTTGATCACAGGGAGAGAGCAAACGAAATAAATTGAATTTATATATATACGCATAAACATCAGAGTTGTTATGCGTTCTTGTAATTGTGTTTAAGAAATACAATCACACTCTTGTGGTAATTAGCGTTCACGAGATACTTTGATAAAGTACTTCAACTAATGTATAATATTAGGTCGTCAAAAATTTAATGTCGCTTTTTAAATAAAAAAACCCGAACAACTTATATTAAAAACAAAACATTAGTAAATGAAATACTCTCCATTCTTATCGATAATGCTTTTCCATCTTACAATCAGGTTGTTAATGTCCTGATTAAAGAAATCACTTGGCTTTGAAGCAAAAACATATATGGATGTCCTCTTTAAGACCTTCCATATTTGCATACGTTTTCCTATTAAGATGGTGTTGCAGCGAACGAAAAAGATGGTAATCTGATTGTGCCATATCTGGAGAATATGGTGGGTGGTGGGGAACTTCCCAACCCAACTCCATAATATTGTGTTGCGTCAAACGTGCCACATGTAGACGTGGATGGTCGTGAAGAAGAAGAACATCTTTCCGATTGACGAGTGAAGGGCGTTCTGATGAAGGACTTGATTTAAACGTTTCAATTGCTGACTATAGATCTCTGCATTGACAGTTCGCTGTGAACTGAGGAGTTTGAAATGAATTACTCCTTTGATGTCCCACCAAATGCAAAGCACTACTTTCTGCGGATGGAGTCCACGTTTTGGGGTTGGAAGTGGTTTTTGTCTAGAACTGAGCCATTGTTTTTGGCATTTAATATTCGTATAGAGAGTACATTTTTCATCACCGGTGACAATTCTGTCCAAAAATGGTTCACGCGCATTACGCACCAGAAGAGACGAAGCAACGTTCACACGTTGGAAACACTGATCATAGTAGAGTTCGTGAGACACCCAAACACCTTCTTTATGAAATTTCACCATATTCCTGTGATGTTACGTATTGTTTCATGAAAGACATACAATTTCAGGGCCATTTCATTAG